TTCAGGTCATTGTAAGGGACAGGAAGATAAGTCTTGTTTTCATAATTTTTGTATTTCATTTGCAAACATTTGGATTGTGGATTTATTTTTTTCAGTGAATGTGTGCGGTTTCTTTCTCATGCTTCTTGAGCAGATTTCTTTACCTTTCCTTGTGATGATTAAATAAGATGTATAGGATTGGAAAGTGCTTTTAAATAACTTTTAATTATTGAATGCAATGATTAACCTTCAGATCTTAATTTAACTTTCATTTTGGCCAAGTAAAATGCACTATAATGACTCGGGAGAGCTATAATAGAATTAACTAGGTTAGTCACATTGAACTATGGGGTATATGCTTTGACAGTTTAATTACAGAATTTATGGAATTAAAATTGCTTTAACCAATCATCTTTTTGCACTCAGGAGAGGGTAAGAAGAGTGTTGCTCCTATTTATCGCTAGCCTATTTTATAATTTGCACTTAACATTTTATATACTCCACTTATATTCTTACAAGGGATGTTATTTTTAGAACCTCATATTCATCAATTCAAACCACATTAAGTAGGGTTTCTATAGGATTTACACTTTACAGCTGCTTTTGATACTTTAAGATTACTTCGTAGGACTCGAACACAAACTAAATTCCAGGCTAGGAAAAAAAATAAGTAAGCTAGAACTTTTTATAAGTCTAATTCACTTGCTCCTATGGAATTGACATTCCAGACTTTAAAATTTGATAGTACCGATAAGACACGTGCACTTATGTGAGGCCCCAATGTGTGGTTGCACCTGGAAGCGGTATCACCCCACATCCTCTAGCTTTTGTACTTCCTCTTAGATGGGTCCCGCCATGACCAATGGCCTTGTCGAGTTTCTAATCTTCTGTTTCATAGGTTGAGGCAATGGATTAACGTTCAATATGTGACACACAACATTGATTATTACGCCAGACATCTCAACGGCTGTCCACGCAAAAACATCTAAATTTTCTTGGATGATTTGGATGAGCAGCTCCCTATCACCTACATCAAAAGCTTCACTTATCAAAAAATATCTATCTGGTTCTCCTTCAACCGTCTAAACCTCACGGGCTATTTCTTTGGTCTCGAGGATACCATCCCTTGCGCTTTGGATGTCCAGAAAATTATGTTCCAATTTGCTTAGGCTCGCAAGTAGCAGACTTAGGACAACTTCAGGTCACCCCTGACCGTGTTAATTTCTCCATCTCCAGGAAACTTGACAGCAACATGGTAAGTAGAACCATTGCTCTGAAATTATCAATAGTTGTGGGATGAATATAACATTATATGTTTGGGGTGAATCCACCATGAAGAAATCTTCCATGAGCTTAAATTATTTCTCTTTTCTCCCCAACTTACCAGGAGCCTGACCACTCCCAACGCTTCCTTCCTTTCACACGACAATTGATACAATGGACTAGTCGGCGTAGTCATCCAATTGACAGTGAGGCTCAATTTATTAAATAGCTACTTAAATAGTAAATTCATAGAACTTCCTATATCAATTAAAGTGCTTCCTATTTGATAATCATTGATTATCGTCATTATTACAATAACATCCTTATATGGGTTTCCCTTTGGGGGGAGATCCTCATCTGTAAAGTAAGAGGTAGATGGCCCTTGAGTTCTGTGGTAAATGTTGCGGCATAGAGTTCCCTCATTTGATATCTCTTTTGGTTCGCTCTCCTAGGTGCTTTGCTTTCTTCGAAGATTGTGGACACATATCCAGTGATGTGGATGGCGTTGGTGCAGATGAGCCAGCCCGATGTTCCTCCTGTGGGAGATTTGCACTCCCTTTAGGTCGTGGCTCTAAGGGTGATAAATTATTTAACTTCCCCTCCTTTATCAGTTCCTCAATCATGCTTCACAAGTGTTTGAATTCTTCCGTGTCATGCCCGCGATCTCTGTAATGTGTACAATACTTCTGACCATCTTGAAGGAAAGCACGGACTCTAATCGGCTTTGCCTTCCTGAAGAATTCTTTTTTGTGAATGATGTCCACTATTTCTTCCATGGATACCCTGGATTTTCTAGGGTTCATGACACTAAGACAATCGGAAGTATGGGGCATTCGTTTATCTCCTCTGATCCCTGTAACAGAAGGTTCAGCTATTACTAGGGGGACCTTCATAGTGGGGACATATGATCGGCCTTGCGCTTTGTTTGGTGGGCCTCTAACTATCTTACGATGGCCTCTTCTAGTGTCTCTATTCATTTAGTTTTGGGGCATTCTCATAAGTGGTGATGTACTTGTTGGTCATCTCTAATAGTTTGACCAGGCTCTGCAGCTCTGCTAGCTTAAGTTCAAATGAAATCTCTCTGGGTTCACCCCTTACGTCAGTGTGGCCTAGGACATATTAGACATCAAGTCCTTGGTGTACAGCATAAAACTCTAGAAGCATGTGATAAATGACTGCAAGCTCTTGTTGGCTCCTTACTTCAATTGTCATAAAGACCAGAAACTCTTCTTAGGCCTAAGGGCACTGGAAAACTGTGATATGCAGAGTCTTCTGAACTCCATAAAATAGGTAATTACCATCACAGACAATCCGTTAAACCTCCTAATGTGATTGATCTCAACGTCATGAAGAAGAGCTTGCACTTGAGGACAACAGAAAATTTCAACAAGCATATGAATGATTAGAACGACGTAAGGTGATCATCAGAATCCATCCTTTATATGACTCTAAGATTGACATCTTGAAGTTCACTAGAGGTTCAAATCTAGAAATCTATAGGGAAAAGATATTTTTCAGTTGCCTCTGCACCTCGGTCTGCACTAGTCGGTTTCTTTCCTCCACGGAGGCGGATTCGACACTGCCTTCGTATAGAACGTCGCCAGGCTTTTCTTCAGGTGTATCACCCTCCTTCCATTGTTGGTTGGTGGTTTCCCTTGATGGGGGTCGAGTTCTCCTTATCATGCTGGCTCTTCTCCCGGAACTGAGGCTACTGCTAGGGCAACAATTGCTCTAAGTTCTTCTGTGAATTGTCCCGACATCTGGTTGTTGATCTAAATTCTTAAATCTTGCAGGCCTTATTGAACGAATTCTTCCATAAAATCTTGGGTGCATGCTACTTCTACTACGTTCCTCTGACTGAACTCTCCCTGTTGTTGATGTTGGATTCCTCTTCTTGTTGACAACATGTTTCTACGCCCACCGCACCTTAAAGGATGTTAAATCCAAAGTGTCTGGGAAACACATCTAAGGAATATAACGTTATAATAGGAAGTGATTAGCGAGAGATAGAGAGAGCAGTAGTGAATAGTAAAAGAGAGTTTAGCATTTATTCATGATATAAACCCCCTATTTGTAGGCATGGGTCTCAATTTTATAAAAGTACATTTGATCCCCTCATCATTGACTTTTTAGATTTTGTAATTTTAGATTTATTAGCATATAATAAGACCTGATGACTTATTCGATTAATAATAGTCTGCCAACCGTCATGTGAGTCTTGACTTGATTAATATCTAATCTGAAAGAGAGCCTCCTATCGATAGTCTGGAGAGTTGATCCCTGTCCTGCAAAAAATCTCTTTGCTCGTTTCACTGATTGTTCGAACAAGACACCACCCTTGCCAACATCTAGCTCAAGAAGATCATCAACAGCTATGTTCAATCGTCAATATCATCCTCCTGAGCAGTTCATCTGTCTTGAGATTCATGCTGAAATATTTTTATATGTACACCAACTAATCAGTTTTCCTTTTGCTTATTAGCCTATTCTTTAGTTGGCCAACTAATTAGTTGTCTAGTTGATGGTTATTGATTTTGATTTATCAAATGAGTCAATACATTTATGTGGTTTCCACGGAGATAATGTTATAAATTCACATGATATTCTCAAATTGAAGATGAATTTTTGGTATGCATATAATCTCTGAGAAGATAAAATTAAAAATGGGGAGAGGGCTCGAGAAATTTATTTTCAAGAGGCGCGCAAGTCGAATCTCTCTTGATAAATGAAATTAAACTATCCAAAAAAATTATCGGGAGAAATGCCCATCACGATAAATGTAATGGTAATGCTAATTGACATTAATGTTAAGTTAGCTTAATCTCTCTTCTTTGGTATGCTCAACTCAACTAACTTCATGCTTAATGAAGTTTGTAAAAAAAATTGTTATGCTGAAGCTTCCTGGCTAAAAGAAGTGATAATAGTTATTTGATTTGACTTAAATCTTCTCTAATTAAACTGAACTCTATGGTTTACTATTATTGATGAAATTTTCAAGAAAATCATCATGTCATGGAGTCCTCATTCACAAACTCTCTGTGTTGCAGATTTCTTAATAAATTTTTTCTGCTAAACTAAGAATTACCTCGATTATTATTTCGCCATTATCTTTCAAATATCTTGTAATTCTCCTTTTCAAGATGTGAAATTTCTTTATAAATGAAGTACTAGTTTGTGTGGATAGAATCAACTAGCTCATTTTTGAGGAAAAAGAGCGACAAACTAACAACTTATACATTGATAAATAGAAACAAATGCTGTGATTCAAAGCTTGAGAAAGTTGAGGATTACCTTACTCAAGGCTGCGCTGCGAAACAAAGGCTTCAGGATTTCCCGAATTGGAGAGGATGTGAAGGATCAAAGATTGGGAGGTCATTATACAATAATTGCCGATGAGTCGATTTGGCGTCATTGCCTTGCCTTCCATGATAGCCTTGCGGCGGCAGTTGCAGCTCTAACACTTATCAATTAAACAGAGCATATCACGCTGCCACTCAACCGTTGGGAAAACAGCCTTAGCGTCGTTGTGTGCATTCGGTAGCTTGCATTCGATTGGGTCTACTGAAAGGGTCTAGGGTTTGACTTCAAAGAGGAGGCAAATTGATTTTTGAGCAGGAGCAAAATAAAAAAGGGGCGCAATTAATACAATTTTTTCACATACTAATTTGAACACCAAAAGTATTTTTGAATGAGCTCAACACGCACAATGAACTGGGCTGTTTTATGGGGCTAGTCCTGACCGTATTCCATGTGCATGTTCGTTTGACCCGTGTTTCTGATACGTGTTAAAAGTAAGAGAGAGAGAGAGAGAGTGTGAGAGAGAGCCGAAGCGTGTGCTCAGCAGAGGGAGGGAGAGAAGGAAGAGCCCTAAGTCATGACGATCGCAGCTATGCGGCGGCTTCCATGCCACTTTTTCCGTTCTTCTCCTCCACTATCCTTCTTCGCCCGCTACTCCTTCTCCTCCGCCGCCTCCTCTTCCTCCTCTTCCTCGTCCGCCAAGGTCGCCGATCGCATCGTAAAGCTCTTCGCAATCGACCTCGATGGCAATAAGCGCGAGGTCCTGGGCTTGTCCGGTCAAACCCTTCTCAAAGCCCTCACCAACGTCGGCCTCATCGATCCTGCGTCGCATCGGCTAGAAGAGATCGACTCGTGTTCGGCAGAATGCGAGGTTCACATCGCGCAGGAGTGGCTCGAGAAGCTTCCGCCGCCGTCCTACGACGAACGCTACGTGCTCACTCGCAACTCTCGAAATCGCGTCCTAAACAAGCATGCAAGGCTTGGCTGGACGGGGAAAAATTTCATTTTCCCATTTTTCTATTGGGATCATTGTATTTATGCAAGTGGAACTTGCTTTCCTATGGGTTTCTGTTACGAGATCTATGTATCTTTTGCCTTTTCTGCCTTCTTAGGGACTTAACCAAGTAGAATTTTTACAATATGGTTTTGTATTCCTCCTACTTATTGATGCAGTACTGTTTCCTTTAGGATTTGGATTTCGCATTTTCTATCAAGACGTGGGTTGTTTCTTTTTTAAGTGTTGATCATAGACTTATCTTTAAGGTTTTTTTTTATTTGACCAATAGTGGTGGTTTTTATCCTTATTTTGGAATTTGTAATGTGTGATTCTTCTATATCTCCTCTTAAATAACTCCTTCATTAAGCCCATTCTACCGCCCATTCTACCACCCAAAAAGGTGATAAAATAAAAGCAAATGAAGAGCAAAAGAGGAAGGAATTAGAATAAAATATATGTGAACATAATAAAAGGGGGAGTGGGAAATGCTCATGGGGTGGGTCTTTATAGTGTTAATTGGAGACAAAAGCCCAAAGAGGATAGGACTAACTCGTTCCTTCTAAAACCCATGAATATTGCCTACATATAAGCAGTGAATCAAAATTTATTTTGTTATGTGTACATGCTTACCCTCAAGAGAATGCACTCCATTTGGTTAATTAAATCTTGAGAGTTCCCTAAGAATGTTTAGAGGAGGCTTGCTTGTGTTTTAAAAATCTATTATAGGAAATATGAAGGAATAATCATAATTTCAACAAGAGTCACTCCATGTCTCAAAGCCAAACTAGGCCATAGAATGGTGAGTGAGCCACTGTATCCCAATGGGTGGAGGTCTATGAAATAATGTCAAGGGACATAACAAATAAATTGATAGGGCCCGAAGAGGTATATAAATGTTAGGTAAGGAGTTTCTAAGGTTGGTAGACATGATTCTGTTAAGATTTCATGGATTCATTCTCTTTAGTCATCATACTTTGAGCACATTTAGTTAGACAGGTAGTCGACTCAATGTAACCTAAAGTTCCTTGTCAATAACCCATGATTTGCACCGTCTAGGAGATTTTATGGACTCCAAGCTAGAGACGGAAATCAACCTAAAATCATAAGATTCTATACAGGTAGAAAGTGCTCCAACCTAGATAATAAAATCAACCTAAAATTAAGATTTTATCCATCTAGAAAAAGCAATAATAAGATTTATTCTAATAAAAATTGATAAGACTCCTCTGCAAAGAAAGAAATGAGTAAGTCTGACTACAAGGGTAGAACTTATTCTATAAGGACTTGTAATCTTATTTGGTTCAGTATCACCTCTAAACACCTTAAGCGTTCTTAACCAAACGCCTAAATTTTGATCAATGTGATCAATTAGATAAGTGAAACAACTATATCTCTATGGGACATTATATGGTGAATGCAAAATATGCCTTTAATGTGGAGGTTCTATTAGTATAATCTGAGTTATGGCTGTACAATGTAAGTCATTTGAAATCCAATCATATGCTATGTAAGAATATAAAATTCTATTTACAAAATTTTGACACTTTACCCTATAAATTTTAGGATTAAAATTTTTCGAGTTATTAAAATTTTTCGAGTTATTAAAATTTTTAAGTTATTAAATTTTTTATAAAATAGATTTAATCCTAAGAGCCCTACTCATATGCATGAGCCTATACAAAATCACAATCTAATATAAAATAATAAAAACAATACAGGTGCACAAAAAAAGTAAAACACACCAAATAAAAGAACAATAAGGGTGTAGTTGGGCCAACAACATATCCCTATTTTATCATATTTTCATTTTTGAGTATAAGCTCTTATTCTGTTATTGTATTATAGATTGCTTATCGATGAACCCAAGTCATTTAATTGTATATTTATCACCATCTTACAATGCTGCAACCCTTTTTAAACTCATTTTTCTTCAACATATTCTGTTGGCTATTTGGTGATTTTTATATATACTTTTAGTTTTGCATCATCCTGTGAATATGTTATTCTTGCTGGCAACATCTCTTCAGACTTGAGGCATTGAATAGGCTAGTTGAAAGTATTTGGTTGGTATGCGTCAAACATACAAAATAAAGTTCGTGGTTCACTTACCCCTGGAGGTATATAAAATATTTTATCTTCTATAAGTTATGAAGTCTTATAGAGTAATTTCTTTGAAGTGATGGATAAAGGAATCGACATAAGAACAAATGAATCTTGATGTCAATAGATTGGTCATTCTTCTTGAAGAGATATATTGAACCCTATTTTCACTAGTAGATTCAAATTTATAGCCAACAACAACAACAAGTCTTTATGCCACTAAGTGGGGTCTGGTCAAAATTGTACTCGAGTCAGAATAATTTTCTTTATTATTTTACTTTTCTTTAGGGCTCACAAGTTCCCTTAGATTTGATAGGAGTATAATTCTTTTATCTGTATCACTCTCTAAGTGCAGAAAGACCATCTTCAATGTAAGTGGAGCACCAATTGTTCAAGGAAAAATGAGGTTGTTTTATAGTCATAGAAGTAGTTGCCATTGTTTTAGGGATTTATGGTGGTTTGAGTTTATTATTCTTATGGCTACACAAAATATAGTGTCTTGCATTGGTGCCAGGACTCTGGTAATATGAGCATCTTTTTTTTTTCTTTTGGGGTCATATATTTGATATTCCACACATCAGTTCTTTTTATTTTGTGAATGGGTGTTGTTTTGAGTACTTTCGAGCAGTTTTTTTCTTGCCTTTCTCACCGTATGACACTGATAATATAGACGTTCTTAGGAAAGTGACGTTTCACTTATTGGTTTTGCAAAATAAGTGCGTTGAATATGCTTTGTTATATCTGTTTTAACCATGGTTTGTGTTATGTAGTCGCCATTGCCGGTATCTTGTTCGTGTTTGATGGATTTCAGCCATCCAATAGATACGCAGGTCAATATATACCAAGAAAGCTTCTGATGGGAGTTTAAAAGTTCAAATGAGCTCCAAAAACATGAAATATTTTAGCTGCTCTATTTTTTGCGTTTTGATTGTTGAGTCAGATGATCCAGAGTTGTTTTATAGTTGAGTCATTTTTGGGATTGTTTTCTAAGCTTGGCTTTAATGAATAATTTCACTAGAATGTTCTGAATAGCATTTTTCTTTACTGAATCTCGTATGTTCTAGAATCAGAGCTAATTCTGTTCATGGGTTTTATGCATCCATAATTATCCTATTCGATATGCTGCTTACTTTCCTGGTAATACTGTTCATGCTAATCTCTATCTTTAATGAATCATTAGCTTTTCCACATTTTGCTCTTATGCTCATCTGTGTCCTACTGACAATATGCTTATTCGTTGATTTGCTGTTGGATTACTGTTGTTGTCTTACTGGAGTCGTGCTTCCAATTTGGAATAAAAAAGGGGGGGGATTAGTTTTAAATACAAGTTCTGATGCATTATTGAGGGGAATTTTCACTTGATAAATTTTTTAGATTTTATGTTTGCTCCAGCTTGCTTAAACTGAAAGAAATACTTGGGGATAGAAAAGTACCGCTTAAACTGAAAGGAAACTTTTATAAGATGGTGGTGAGACTAGCAATGCTCTATGGCGCTGAATGTTGGCCTTTAAAAGAATAAGAATGCTAAGGTGGTCGGGTGATTTGACACTTATAGACAAAATATGAAATGTATATGTCCATGATAGGGTTGGTGTAGCTTCAGTGGCGGACAAGATTAGAGAGAATCATTTTAGATGGTTTGGTCACATTAAATGTCAATCATCTGATGATCCGGTTAGGAGAGTAGGTGTTTTAGCTTCGACTGATTTTATGAAAGGCAGAGATAGACCTAAAAATTCTTGGGCACCTTGTATAAAAAATGATTTTAATCTATTAGAACTAAATGAAAATATGACACTCAATAGGAAGCAATGGAGAAAAAGGATTCAGTAGCTGACCCCACTTAGTGGGATAAAGGCTTGTTGTTGTTGTTGTATGTTTGGTCCACTTTGCGTGGTTGGGCGTGAATTCTTTGTAGGGTGGTGCTGTTTTGACTGTCAAAATTTAGAGGCTGTCCTGTATCTGGCTTGAATTTTTCTCTATTTAGTGTAATCTTCCCCTTTTCCTTTTTTTTTTCTCTAAATGAATATTTAGTTATTGCGGTTTCCAATGTCCCTATTTTTTTCAAATTTACTGCAGCTATGTTTTCGAATACATTGTAAAACTTCAATTTCTTGTTGATTTATTTTAACTCATCGTAAGTTTTGCTTCATTTTTATGTATTTGGAAGATTACACCTAAAGGAAGTGAATTTTAGTGTATTAGTGCTCTTTCGTTATGCAAATCCCAACCTTTTCTTTGTGATGTATATTAATTCCATCATCCTAATTGTGTTTTGAACGTTAAACCTTAGATACCTTAGATTTCATGCATCAATTTGTCATTCAAATATTGTATGATCAATTTGAGTACTTAAATGAAGCGATTTTATTGTGATATATTATTTTTTAATTTAGTACCTAAACTTTATTTTTCTCGTTACTATTTTTTTAGCAATAAGTACCTCGTTAAAGGTCTTAGATTCAAAATTCATGTATGATCTAAGTTAGAATTCACTAAGGATAACAACTGAGGTTCAGAGCTTGTAAGGTATTTCAATTTTCCTCCCGTTAAAAATTTTACCCTCTGCTTTGTGTTTCCAAAGAAAATCGCTCTAAAGCAGTGTTAAACCTGCATCAATTCTGGCATCATGAATGGTGAAATGATCCTGCACAGAAATTGGTATTCATGAATAATCTAAGGATAAATCAAATGCTGAAGAGGATTTGGAGTTCTGTACTAAATATAAATATATTTATGCATTTTCAATGATAGTATTTGGATCTCAGTTCCAGGAGTGGTACACATTAGAGTTGCAATTATATTTTCTTATAGGAGCCATCTTCTTATAAACTTAGTTTTTTTTTTTTATTATTGTTTCTTGCAGCTGGAGTAAGTTGCATTTTTATCCACCTCGTTATTTTTCATTTTTATAATGCAGTATTCTAATTCTCACTTGATTTATACAATATTATTATATCATCATGAAAAGCAATAAATAAATAAATAAATAAAGGAAGGAAGAAAAAAACTATATCGAAGGTAACTTTCTAGGATTTAAGATTGAAAATCGCACCTCACATTTTTGAAGAGAGTTTCTAGAATGAGAATTCAGTTCCAGCAAGTTAGCACTTGAGCTCACTATGTTGACCCCAGATTCTTTCGCTTTTGGACACATGCAATGAAACAAATTAACTCCATTTACACCTAAATTGAAAATCAAGCAAGATCCAAAAACTTGAATTTGGAATTGAATATGAAGATTATTCTGATTAAAATTAAAGTAGAACATGAATCTATTTGTGACTGGATATTGAATAATTTATGTATACTGAAGTTTTTAAATCAATCGAACAGACTGAATATATATTTTCAATGAACTATTTATAAGTGATATCCCTATAAATGCATAGAGAATCAAATATTGATTATCTTGTGTTTTTTTTTTTAAATTTAATTCCTATTTTCAATTAACTCATGGCAGCTGCCTAAACAAAAAAAAAAAAAAAAAAAAAAAAAAAGGAGCAAGTAATGATTAAAAGCTAATGTAATACTTTCAGGTAAGTTGATTTCTAATTTAAGTCATCTGGCACAGTGCCTTTGGCCACTGTAATTATTTTGGTTGTCCAAATAAATTTATTTGAACTGAATTTATCCATATGGGCTACCGCTTATCAGCAAAAATTATTCCATACGGATCAGACACCGCACGCATCTTGGGTCCGCATCTTGGGTGCGGTGTCCGATCCTGATCGTAAATAGGTGATTTACGGTCAGGATGTATTTCGGTGGGCCCCACCTAAATGTTTTTTAAAAAGAACTGAAATAATTCTGACTGTAGATCACCGTGATCTACGGTCAGGATCGGACACCGCATGCAGAGATGCATGTGGTGTCCGTATGCAATAATTTCTCGCTTATGAGAGTTACACTTAATGATTAATTATAAACTTATTTATTTATCTGTTATTTAATTATTTACTTTTTATATTCTCCACACCTAAAACTTACCAGGAATCCATTAGAAAACATACAAGTGTTCAACATTTTATTTTTCTTTTCATAATCTCTACATTTATCATATCCCACTGCAGTGCACTACAGTGCCCACGTTTCAAATGCATGATTGCATGAAAGTTATCATTGAGAGCTTGTTGTGGATTATATAATAAGTTCAGGTTTTTGTAGATTAGGGGATGTAGTCATAGTAATTCTTATTCCAGAAGAATCGTTGATGAATGAATTAATAGGGAAAATTGAACATATAGTTATATGTCGTAAATTGAGATACATGCACGTATTTAGAATCGCATGTAATTCTGCAACTTATATTGTTTTTAATATTAAATTTATTACATACTTGTCGCACATTTCTTTATGTATTAACATATTTAGGTCGGATTTGGGTCTGAAATTGAGATACATTTTCATAATATTAAATTGAGCATAGTTTGGAAGTGAGAATGTCAAATCCAGTTAGTAGGTAAGATGATTTGATGCGAACGGATTTGGGTCTGACACGAAGATGATTTGATGCGAAATTGATCCAACTTAAAAGTGGTTATCTGAACTGTGGTTATTTGAACTTGATTTGACTATTAAACAAATCAAAAAATTCAACACGAACACGACCAGGTTTCAACTGGACAACTCAAATCCATACCAGTATAACATATTTAATAATAACAATTATTTGGGGTCTAATCAAATCAATTTCGAGTAAATCTCTAGTCAAATAAGAGTTGACGGGTCGATTTCAAATCAATTTAGGGTTGATGGGTTATTTTTGGTTTAGCAGGTCATCCCAAAGAATTAAACAAATTAAAACTTTTAACTCAAGCTCTGATTTTTTTAGTTGGCTGGGGCTGAGTTAGCATGTTGGGTCAAATTTTGACAACCCCTACTTGGAATTTTGACATAGCTTCTCATACTCAATATCTAAAGTTTCATATTTGTATTTATTTCACTTTGCTGTCATAAACCAATATAAGAGGCTAATTTTGATAAGTAAATGCCCCTTGTTTCTAAGCTCTTGATAGCATTAGTTTGTTTTAGTGGGGAACCTTCTCCTCAAAGTTAATTTATGAAAAATTTGCTGTGTTCTTTGTATTCTCACATATTTCAAACTTTTAAGTGTTACAAGTACTGAAAGGTTAATTTTGCTTATTGAAGATGTTTTATTGAAAAGCTTCTCGACTTTGGTATGCAATAGAAGTTAAATTTATTAATTTATTCAATATTGTTTTATTGAGATTTATATCATCCTCAATTATGTGAACTATTTCCCATTATTAATAAAAAAACATTGAAGTGATTATTGTGAGCATCTTGCTCTTGGTATTTTTGGTAATGCTCACTAATAATCGATTGTTTTGATTCCTTTTAAATCATTAAGTCGGTGCGGGCTATAGTTATAAATGGATGACATGATTAGAAATGAGTGAAGTGTCAAAATAGTCTCTTGAATAATTAGATAGGGTCAATTTAGTGTAAAATTAAAGTCCAGAGACTTTTAATATGACTTGAATATAGTTTTCATGGAAGACTATTTCAAGCCTGATAAGAGTTTGGGGGATAAATTGATATTTTTATAGCCTATGGGATTAAAATGACCCTTCAGCTTATGGGATTATTTGGACACTTTTCGCTTACCCAGAAGTTGCAAGCAATTTTATAAATAAAGATATGATGGTAGAAGCTTAATTTTTGTAGTTTAGAAGTTTTATAATAAATTAGAAAGAACACTAACATTTTTAAAATATGGATTGAAAATAAAGAGATTATTAAAGAAAAAAAATGATGATAAATATTATTAGCCATATGTGAAAAGAGAATTATAAAAAAATAAAGTATATTCCTCAGGTGCCACTTGCGGGGAGAAGAAGTCAA